AGTAAATCTTGCAGAATTATATTAATATGATCCCTGTCTAACTTGGTAAAAAATTGCCATGAAAATCTACATAGCACAAATAGGTTCAGTTGCAAGTTGTACCATTCTTTCGTACAATATTGTTTGAAAATGTGAGGAAATGTACAAATTTTTCACAATAATTGTAAAAATGATCAGAATGTAAATGTTGCATTTTGATATTGTACTAAAGTTTGGTACAACTTATATTTAGACTTATTTGTACTACGTCAGTGTGTGTGAGTACGGGTCTTTCTTTTTTAAACTAAGCAAAGAATATTTTCATATTATAGCATTCTATTATTATTATTAAGATCAGCAAATTCTAGGGGTGGCATTACTAAGGCAAAAAGAAACAAAAAAATCTTGATATTAAAAAGGTTTTCATACTTCCAGAACGCATAACTAATCAAAACTTACTACATTTAGAGCTTACAAAATCATGCAAGTAATTATTTCAGTTACCATCAGCTCAGTACATATGTGCGAAAGTCCCTTTCTTGAAGCATAACTTCTATGCCTAGATATCAGCAAACCAATAGAAGGATATCTCATAACACTCCCTTTACTTATTATCCAGAGAAATTGAAAGTAACTGGTAAAAGTAGTCATTTAAATAAGCGTACATACTTTGAAAAAGTGTCTTCCAGGTAACAGGTGCGTTGATATTGATCGATACGTCTTTTTTTCAAATCAGTTTATAAATATAGTTTCCCTTATTAAATAAAATAACCGTGCTGATGGTTTCATGTATAAACAGGTATTTTGCAAGTTATTTCTTTGAAGTCTGTAACGAGGTAAATATAGGAAAAGGCATCTCAAACGTGTTATAATGTACTGTGTATTTATTTTAGCAAAACTATTACGTTTTATGGCTTCCGTCTTGGAGATGTTATTATAAAAGAAGTGAAGTTAATAATGAAAGCACGTCGCGATGATGGACACTGTGATTTCAAAAACTCCTGGAAAATTAGTCAAACACGAGCAAAATGAGCTGATATATATTTAGCGGTAATTTTTGTGTAGTTATTTTATGTTAGGTATAGTTTTGCTACTTACTCTGTGGTTTTGCTATATTTGCATTTTGTGTCGTTTTAATAAATAAATGTGTAAATCAATGTGTTTTACTTTTTAACATAGCAAAGTGAGTAGCACTGTGTCAGCTGTCAAAAACACATTTGAAGTTGATGGATTTGTAACAATTCAATATTAGAATGGCGGGGGGTCTGCAAAAACAGAAAAAATTGACACGTGGACAAAAAAGTTTGGGGACCTCTGGTTTAAAAGATGTGAATTGACTGAAAAACATATGGAATATGTCAAACGTACTTTTATTCTCTGAGGACCAGTATTTTAAGTCTTGGTTAAGTAAAACTTAATTCGTGGTTTTATTCTTATTTGGCAACTAGTGTCTGGTTAAATATGGCAAATCTCCATGTTAAATTAACACCTACTAACTCGCCGCTAAAGCTGATCGTTGAGTTAATCAACAGTCGAATTCGATATTTCGTTAATATCAAACTTGAATTTCACAGCAAAAAAACAGATAATATCGTTCCATAATTCTACGAAATTTTGTACTATTTTGACAGCATTTTTGAAGATGACGACAAAGAATTAATTAATACAGTTCCAGATCAACGAGATAATATATTTTCTTAACAAATTCTGAGCAAGGAAAGCGACAGTTAATAGTATAAGAAATTCTACTTTAAAGGTTAGCAAGTAATTAAAAGAAATTATGTTCAAAACAAAGTCGAAATATCGCAACGCACATTGAAAATTGAGGTTAGAAATCTCTCATTGGAGTGGTTCCATTAGTGCAACCAACAGAAAAAATATTAAACTTCTGTTTGTTAGTTTCTATCTTATTTTATTACATAGGTAAACGAATCTATCCATCTCTCTTACAGTTTTATTTTTAATTAGATGATTATCCTTTAATCGGCATTAATTAATGCCAAATTTTAATCATAACTCAAAGTACTGGGTATTAGACTTACAATGTGTCATACATTAAATGTGCAGAATCGGACCTTCCTGTGCACAAGTAACAGGTTTTTTAAACCTAGAATAACGGTCCACAATTTAAATAAAGGTAATACACAATATGCAATCAATTCCTTATGCTTTCTTGAAATTAAAGTTGTTTCATCTTCATTACTTTAAAATATATATTTTTTAATATTTTTCCAATTTAATAACAAAGAAATTATTCTAATAAAAAAGATACAATAAAGTTTTTTTTTTTAATAACTTAAAAAGGGTAAGAGCTAGAAAAAATGTTTCGTATAAAAGTTGTACAGCTGTAGAGCATAAAACTACATAAAAATGATATGTTGACTCTTTCTTGTACTATCAAAATTTCAGTTTTTTAATCGTAAATTTTTATGATTTAACACTAAATCATTTTTTTTTATGCCATTCGATTGATTACACAGCCACACAAAAAAAGTTGTCTGTACTTTTCATGCGACATTCGAAATCCCCGAATACCAAATTTGGCGCCAATCTGTTATTTTTTGAAAATTCGTGGTATTTGACCTTAATTGACCCGTTTTTTTTGAGGTTAGAAAAAGAACCATCAATTCTGACTGTGGATTCACGTTCGTCGAGGTCTTAACCGTATAAATGAATATTTGAATATAGAAAAAAGTATTTTTTGTGAATTTTTACTATTTTTGACCTGTTTTTTGAGGTTAGGAAATTCCTGTGATGTGATAGCTCAATTTTGACAACGGATTCGCAATCAGGAGGCAAAAATACTACGGATAACGTAGTTTGCATGAAAAGTACAGACAACTTTTTTGTGAAATTGTTATAAATTTTTATTAAAAATTAAAAAATTTATCTATTTCTCTGAAAAGATAGTTTATATTTTTTAGAGCAGATTGAAATAAAAATTATAAAATTGATTCATTTTTCTGCTTCTTATGTTTTTTTACATTTCTTGAATGATCCCTTAACTTCTAGTCTCCCTGACTCTTTTAACTTTAATAGTACAAGAAAAAGTCAATCGACCATTTTTATGTAGAATTTTATGCTCTACAACTTTTATAAGAAACTTTTTTTTCTAACTCTTACTGAAGCGTGTGAGTGTCCTGTTGGGTTTTTTTGCGACCTCAGCAGGGCATTCGACTGTGTAAACCATACACTGTTATTATCTAAATTACAAAATGTGGGTATTCGCGGATTAGCACTAAATTGGATCAGGACTTTTCTTGAGGCGAGGAAACAATCAGTTATTATTAATTATAATAATCAGAATAATGCTTCTGTAACATATAAATCAGAGTATGCCTCTATTAAGATGGGAGTCCCACAGGGATCAATTTTGGGTCCTGTGTTATTTTTATTATATGTCAACGATATTGACACTATTTCAACTAATGCTCACTTTACTATGTATGCCGATGATACATCTTTGGTTTTGTCTAATAAGTCAGATCAAATATTAATGCAAGATTGTCATATTTGTTTTCATACGAGTCGTGCTATTAACTGTAAAAACTTAAGCTTTGATATTAATGATTTTCCGTTGACTAGTACTGATAATACTTACGCAAAATTTCTGGGTTTATATTTAGACGAAAACCTCAATTGGAAATATCACTGTCAAAGTCTAATATCTAAATTGTCATCTATTACCTATTTGTTTCGAAATATCAGAACAGTTCTTCTTATAGAACACCTTCTTTGTCTGTATTACGCCCAGGTTGAGTCTCGACTGAGGTATGGTGTCTGTTTTTGGGGAAATTCGGTATTAGCCTCAAATGTTTTAATTGCACAGAAGCGAATTTTAAGGTGTATGATAGGAGTTCCCAGTCATTACTCGTGTAAGGATATTTTTAAAAATTTTAAAATTCTACCTTTACCATGTCTGTTCATATTTGAGATCCGCTTATATGTATTCAAAAATAAAAGTAAATTTGTTTTAAGTGATGCACTCCTCAAGTATAATACAAGACACAATACGAATTTACATGTTCCATTCGCTAGAATTAGAATAACGTCCAACTCTCCCGACTGTTTAGGTCCTAGGCTATTTAATAAGTTACCTAACCAATTAAAATTGCTGAAAAGTGAATATTTGTTTAGGAAAGCTTTAAAGCAGTTTTTATTGGAAAAATGTTTTTATTCCATATTGGAATTTTTACC